ACAGCCATAGTAGTCTGAACCAAACGCGTGCACCTGTCCTTCATCTAGACAGAAATAATACAAATAATCCTCATTGTCACAGCCCAAACAGCCATAGTAGTCTGAACCAAACATGTACACCTGTCCCTCATCTAGACAGAAATAATACAAATAATCCTCGTTGTGACATACTGAGGACTGAGGGGGAAGTGTAATAATTATAGAGTGACCTGGTACATGTTAACATACCCAGGGCCGAGGAGAAAATGTAATTATTATTATACCTGTGACAGCCAGCGTGAAGTCCTCCCCACATGAGGCCTGTATGATGCCAACCCCCTCCAGTGCCTCCACTTTCTTTGGTGCCTTGTATGCAGACTTGTTACCCTGGCCCAGCTGACCAACGATTTGTGCCCCACCCTGAACATTCTACAAAATTACAGAATTTGTCAAAATTCATTATTTTACTTGGTTATTTTTTTAGGTCACTTATATTATGCCTGATACTTATTTATTGAACATTAATCAAGAGAATAAGGACGATGAATAAAGAATAAAATGGTGAAAATAATTCATTTTTTTAAAGCACAAAAGATGGAGACCACGTGATACTTACAACTATCAAGAAAATAATTGATAAAAAAGAGAGAACTTTCCTTTGCGTTCATGCCTTATATAGATCTCTACTTACCGCCCAGGTATACAGCTCCTTCTCCATGGTAACCACCGCAAAGTGGGCACTCCCTGCTGCCACCTACAGTCAACAACGAATGGTTCATGGTTTTTGGTGTCAAATAGTTTACTTAAATATATGTTAAAACCTAGACGACATTTTGAAATAGGGTGAACATTGGCAGAATTGCTTCACCATTCAGTTTCATTAAGTACAGCTGGTAACAGATTAACAAAGTAAATTCCATAAATCATCTTCCTCCGTCTCCTACTTTTTCACTTCTCTCTAAAAGCAATGCTAGATATAAAGTCTCCATCGAACAGACAGGAATAACAGATAACATAGTTAATATTGTTTTTACCTGAATGGCACTTTTGCCTTTCACAAACATGTCCTGTTTCTGGGGAGTCCGTTTGCCTCCCCCCCACTGGTACACCTGGAACAACACAACAGTTCTAAATCTACTGTCTTATGGTAATAAATATATCACACCATGAAATTATCATTGTATGTATATAAAGCTAAATATTTGTATTCATTATTTATATTGTATTTTACATTTTCAGTGGTCAAAACTCTAAGTGACACATAATGATTCTGATTTTAAGTCCAAGTGACAAAGTTTATCAAGGAGGCTAATCAAGCCATTTTCTTTCTTTTTTCTTTATTATTCTTGTGGCAATATTTAAAAAATCACAAGTAAAATATAGTAAAATGTTTACCTAATCTGTAACAAAAGCAAAACAGTAGTCATACTAAAAACAAATATTTCTTACTTATTCTGGTGCATCCTGTTATCCACACAATGTGATTATTACTTATAACTTTTGTACTTATATTCAGTCATTTTACCTGTATATATATATATATATATATCACACCTCAGTGACTTTAGACTTGATCACAGGGACAGTTTCTGTACATATATATATCTCACCTCCATGACTTTAGACTTGATCACAGGGACAGTTTCTGTATATAAATATATCTCACCTCCATGACTTTAGACTTGATCACAGGGACAGTTTCTGTATACATATATATCTCACCTCCGTGACTTTAGACTTGATCACAGGGACAGTTTCTGTATATAAATATATCTCATCTCCGTGACTTTAGACTTGATCACAGGGACAGTTTCTGTATATATATATATCTCACGTCCATGACTTTAGACTTGATCACAGGGACAGTTTCTGTATATAAATATATCTCACCTCCATGACTTTAGACTTGATCACAGGGACAGTTTCTGTATATATATATATCTCACCTCCGTGACTTTAGACTTGATCACAGGGACAGTTTCTGTATATAAATATATCTCACCTCCGTGACTTTAGACTTGATCACAGGGACAGTTTCTGTATATAAATATATCTCACCTCCGTGACTTTAGACTTGATCACAGGGACAGTTTCTGTATATAAATATATCTCACCTCCGTGACTTTAGACTTGATCACAGGGACAGTTTCTGTATATAAATATATCTCACCTCCGTGACTTTAGACTTGATCACAGGGACAGTTTCTGTATATATATATATCTCACCTCCGTGACTTTAGACTTGATCACAGGAACAGTTTCTGTATACATATATATCTCACCTCCGTGACTTTCGACTTGATCACAGGAACAGTTTCTGTATATAAATATATCTCACCTCCGTGACTTTAGACTTGATCACAGGAACAGTTATTGTATATATATATATCTCACCTCCGTGACTTTACACTTGAACACAGGAACAGTTTCTGTATATATATATATATCTCACCTCCGTGACTTTTGACTTGATCACAGGGACAGTTTCTACAGATGATGATGACTGTAGTCTTAATTTTCGAGCCCCAGAGTTCAGTTCCCAAACCTGTTTTTCCATGTTTGCTTTGCTGTAAGTTTAAATTGTACATGTGATTACAACACTTCTTATTTCTTTTGTTCTAATCTCTTACCTAAGCTTTAAGCCAAGTTCTGTCTATAGTGCTACCAACCAGGACTGCAGACAAATAGACTAATTGGCCATAACAATTGTTGTTTATTGTTTTAAATTCTTCTGAATTAAAGGACAACAGACTGCAGTTTGATACCTATATATGTACATTTCCCTTAACTTCAAGAATCAATTGATACAGCATCAAGAGGTCAATTGGATCTTCAAAGTGGTTCGAGGTCAAATTTATTATAAACAAAGTTTAACTTGACATCAATCAAGCTGACACGACGGGCTAATAGCATTTCTCTACACAGATCTTTGCAGAAAGTGTTTGACTTATTGTACTCTTGTTACCTTCAAAGTTGATCTTGGTCATGCAGGCAAACTTTATTGAGTTTCAGACTAGAATGCTACTGGCAAAATATCATTACCCTATATCTAGCCATCACGGTTAAGTAAACATTCTAACACATTTAGCCCCTATGACCTTGAAAGTGGATTCAGGTCATTTATTTGAAGAAACTTTAAAGCAATCACCCAAACAATCTACAGGCATGACCCTAAGACTTGTGGTTTAAATGAAGCGGTACTTTGTTAGAATGTTTAACAAATTTGAACACTATTTCTTCTTACATAAGCTCAGTGGAACAGGTATGAAAATAAAACTGTCTACAATAACCAACGGCTGACCAGCACTGACCAGTCATCAGCCGTGAATACAGAATGGTCAAGGATGTCCATGGTACTAGGCCGGTTCTTCGGTTCCTTCTGCAGCATGAGGTTTACTAGTTCCCTCATGTGGTTACTGAAGCATGGATCAACCTCACCCTGTTCACTCCGCACGATCTCGTACGCAAGCCGAAGCTGATTCTAGAAAACGGTACAACACATTATCAATTATCTAGAATAAGATAAAAAGAATTATCTCCAAAGCTGAAATTTACAAAAATTGTTGACTAGAATTGGAAATTGATTTAAATTGTATCAGGCAAATTAATTGTTTTAGAGATGTAGCTTTTCATATATTATATATACATCAAGGGGAGCATGACTCTCTGGTGAGTGGAGACAGGGTAGAGAGGGTAATGTATAACAAACCTCCTTACTCCGATTGTTCTAGTCTAATCAGTTGTTCAAATGGGTACCACCATGTTGGAACTCTGCTTAGTTAACCCCACTGGACAGTAAGACTCTGTGACCTGCTGTACCTAACTACCTGGTAAACACTGGTACTTACCGTTGCCTGGAATGTCTTCGTTAGGGTAAGCAGCTCAAACAGTACACAGCCAAGTGCCCAAACATCAGTTTTCTGATCATAGCTTAAATATAAGAAATATAACAAGTATTGTTTAAGTGCTATGGAAACATATTTATGTAATTTTAAAATCTTAATTTATTCAATTAAATTATAGATATGATTGTTACCGGGTTATGTAATATTTTTAATTTGTTTGATTAAATTACGGCTATGATTGTCGAACACATCAGATTTACATTTTTAATCAGTTATTAATAAAAAACAAAATGTGGTCCATCCATTTAATAATCTATAATATGGTATACATAACAAATAAAACAAAACATACAAATATTTCAGTTAAAGAAATGATGGCTAAAATGAAGTGACAAGATATACAGAAAACACCAAAGGTAGGTCAGTACCTGGCACCCTGTACAATCTCCGGGGACAGGTAATAGGGAGTTCCCACCAACTGTTGATATAGATGTATATAGAGAGCATTAAAATATATTAATACGTCAAGTACACAGCATGTACTGAAAACATTATCATGTAACGAACACATAATCATGTACTGAACACATTATCATGTACTGAACACATTATCTTGTACTGAACACATAATCATGTACTGAACACATTATCTTGTACTGAACACATAATCATGTACCGAACACATTATCTTGTACTGAACACATAATCATGTACTGAACACATAATCATGTACCGAACACATAATCATGTACCGAACACATAATCATGTACCGACCCACATAATCATGTACCGAACACATTATCATGTACCGAACACATTATCTTGTACTGAACACATTATCATGTACTGAACACATAATCATGTACCGAACACATTATCATATACCGCACACATAATCATGTACCGAACACATTATCATATACCGCACACATAATCATGTACCGAACACATTATCATGTACTAAACACATTATCTTGTACCGAACACATTATCATGTACCGAACACATGATCTTGTACTGAACACATTATCTTGTACTGAACTCATAATCATGTACCGAACACATAATCATGTACCGAACACATAATCTTGTACTGAACGCATAATCATGTACCAAACACATAATCATATACCGAACACATTATCTTGTACTGATTACATAATCATGTACTGAACACATAATCATGTACTGAACACATAATCATGTACCGAACACATTATCTTGTAATGAACACATAATCATGTACCGAACACATTATCATGTACCGAAAACATAATCATGTACCGAACGCATTATCTTGTACTGAACACATAATCATGAACTGAACACATAATCATGTTACGAACACATAATCATGTTACTAACACATAATCATGTACCGAACGCATTATCTTGTACTGAACACATTATCTTGTACAGAACACATTATCTTGTACTGACACATAATCATGTACCGAACCCATTATCATGTACCGAACACATTATATTGTACTGAACACATAATCTTGTACTGAACACATTATCTTGTAATGAACACGTAATCATGTACCGAACACAGAATCATGTACTGAACACATAAACATGTACCGAACACATTATATTGTACTGAACACATAATCTTGTACTCAACACATTATCTTGTACTGATCACACAATCATGTACTGAACACATTATAATGTACTGAACACATAATCATGGACTGAACACATAATCATGTTACGAACACATAATCATGTTACGAACACATAATCATGTACCCGTCACATTATCATGTACTGAACTCTTAATCATGTACCGAACACAGAATCATGTACTGAACACATAAACATGTACCGAACACATTATCAGGTACTGAACACATAATCATGTTACGATCACATCATCATGTACAGAACACATAATCATGTACTGAACCCATAATCATGTACCGAACACCTTATCATGTACTAAACACATTATCTTGTACTGAACACATTATCATGTACTGAACACATTATCATGTACTGAACACATTATTTTGTACTGAACACATTATCTTGTACTGAACACATTATCTTGTACAGAACACATTATCTTGTACTGAACACATTATCATGTACTGAACACATTATCTTGTACTGAACACATTATCTTGTACTGGACACATTATCTGCTTGCTTAAATGTATAAAAGGGATTGTAAGCCTTTGTTTTTGTTTCACAGTTGTTACTTTTATCCATATGTTGTTAAGCGCTTTAGAGTAATTTTACAAATTATATAGGGCGCTATATAAATGTTGTATATTATTATTATTATTATTATCTTGTACTATGAACAAGTCAACAGGAAACAGTAAATTTTTCTCCATTGTAATTCAAATATTTTTCACATCACAAGAAACATTTCAACAGGATATGACTTACAGAATCAGCCATCTCTCCTTTAGATTCAAGAAGTTTTGAAATTCCAAAGTCCCCTAATTTCAATAAATCGGTTTTCGTCATAAAAATATTCATAGCTTTGACATCTCTGGAAAACAAAAAGTACATATTTCCATATCAATACAGGTACATCATAATATAACAACAGGAGGTGTTGGAGAACAGCATAGCTGGCCTATGTATGTTATTATAATACTGCAACTATCAATAGAAACACATGTATAGTAAAACGTTGATTTATTAGTGCCTGTCATTTTATTTGCCACCTCACTTACCACCAGGATACTTCAAGGACTGTTAAATGTGTAGAAACATCTATGTGAAGTGATTGTTAAGAAATTAACAAAGTCCAATAAAGCTGTTTTTGGACGCTAGAATATGAAAATATTGTCCAGAACATTGCTAACACTCCATATAAATGCTTCAACCTTATACTAGACAACAGCCTATTGATGGTGGTTGTCCAACACTTCACGAAAAAACTTGTCCAAGAACTTTAACCTCAAATTTAACTAAGTCCAATTAAGCTGTTTTTGGGCCATAAAATACAAAAATATGGTCCAGCACACTGCTTACACTCAATTTAAATGATTGAAACTCATATTAAATAGACAACTGTGTTGATCCGACACTGTCTGGAAAAAACTTGCTCAAAAACTTAAACCTCTGAAGGTGGGACGCTGACGCCGGGGTGACTACATTAGCCCCCTATTCTTCGAATAGGCGAGCTAAAAAGTATGTAATTCCATATTAATACAAGCACTACATAACATAACATAACAAAGACTTATCTCCATGGTGATAGGTAGCAGTTCTCTTAAGTTGATTACATGTATTTCTTTATACTAAATAATCAACCAGCTAAGGTTAAACCTGAATATATCTTACTACAGAATGAAATAGATATTAAGACATGGTAAATATATTAACTTAATTAACTGTATATCGATTGATGTACCTGTGTAAGGATTGAAATACCTGAATACTGACATACTATATAGATATACCTGTGTGTGTGTTTACCTACCTGTATATTAACTGACATACCTACAAATTGACTGACATACCTGTATAGGGATTGAAAAACAGTTACAGAAACTAATTAACATACACAAATGTGTATGACTTACCTGTGTATTATTCCATAGTTATGAATATGCGTCAGGGCAGACGCAATCTGGAACAGGTACCATCTCACTTGCTGTTTAGATGAGAGACAAGTTCATTACAATTAGTTCAAGGTCACATCAATATATATATAAAGCTGAACAAACTCTGTAACTGGTCACAGTAACAAGTCAATTGTAGTATTTTAAAGAAGAAGAAGGATTATGTTGGTGGTAACCAGGCACTGTCGCCCTGTAGAGTATGTTTTATGGTTATCTTTTATCAGGTACTTTCTGTGTCGTTTACAGGATTAATTATCTAGCTATCTTGTGCACCGCAGAAAACAACTTCATATACACAGTCATGTATTTATTTTCTACACTATTGCTAAAACAGTTACTGGGACATTTTACATGTATCCTCTTCTCCTTGTCCTGTTCTTCTCTGTTCAGGAAAAAGATGAGAAACTACCAAATTTACTGAGAAGAATGCTACTAACTTGCTCTGGAAACAGGTCTGTTTGAGTTGCAATTTTGTCATGAAGACTTCCTCCTGGAATAAAGCAATATAAGAATATTATAAAGATAGCAGTGCTTGGTTTCCAAACTATATCTTGTTTCAGTTTCACTATGAATTTTAAATTAATATTTTAATAAATCAATATACATGTAAAAATAACAGAAATAAAGAATTACATAAATTGTACGGATAGTTATAACCGGCTGAATATTGTTATGAAATACTACACTACATACATGTCCGCACACACACAAATGTATAAAGCCAAGGGACTCTTCATTATTTGATAAATGTTTCGCTGACTACACTACTACAATAGATTTCCATATTGTCTATTACAATTGCATGATGATATCAATATCATACCTACAGTGAGACATACATCTACAGTCAAACATCAAATATTGAGATTTTCTTGTAGTAGTCCTGAAATTTGAATTTTATGTATTGAAGTTTAGGAGATGATTTTGGTTTTAACTATACTTTTATTATTGGAGTCACAGTGATAAATCTACATGGAAGTCCTAGGTCCTGTATACCAATAGAATTTCTGAAAATACTGAAATTTAAAATGGTGGTACCCAATTATCTTTAACCATACAGTGAAAAAAGACCCATACAAACTGTGGCAGGTTTTAATTGTACATAGGATTAAGGTCGCCTTCTAGATTCGAGCTAGAGGAAATTTCCCTTTAGCTCAGTGGAAGAGCCTCCGACTAGGAACCTGGAAATCGAGGATTCGATCCCCGGTGGAAGCACACCATTCTCTTTCCTATTACACAAACTAATTGTAGATTGATCACTGGAGTCGGGATGTTTTCATTCATAAACTATCAACACTATCAAGATCCCACAATTTCTTGATTTACATCATTAGGTATATAGTTTAAAGAAAAATCCAAGATTTAATTTGTTTTATGGTAATATACGTTTGCTTATGCTGCATGAAGTAAAATAATAAAAGTGTGATCTGACCATTGGCATATTCCATCTCTATAAAGAGCGTGTCCTGGTCGAGGAAATGGTTGTAGTAGGTGATCACATTGGTGTTGTTCAGCAGCGACAGGATCTCCACCTCGTTCATGGCATCTCGACGCTCTTTTTCTCCAAGTCGTGCCAGATTCACTTCCTTCCATACCACCAGACTGTTGTCCTGGGAAAAAAAATTGTTGTCCATTAAACTTGCTGTTTACAGCATTATTTATATTTCTACCATAAAGCAGATTATGATATACATACTTCGTCATCAGGCTGATTGTATATATGAATTAAGATACTGTTCCATGATCATTATGGTAGAAACTTGACAATATTGGTAAAATAACTACATGTTCTTACATAAGGAATTCTCTCTACTTGTATGGCTAGCAAAATATTGCTATGATCAAGCTTCTTTCAAACGAACTCCAAATGTTGACCTTTTTGGACGACCCTCTTCCTGGGACTACTCTCAGTGTTTTACACATAATTATGGTTAATGACTTTGCACATAAAGTTAGGAAACTGCACATATTAATTCTAGCCTAAGTTTACTATATGGATTCAACATTAGACTCATCACACTTAGACAGATCTCACAGGATGAACACCTTCATTTGTACCAGTCAAAATATCCTAAGTCTAGTGTACATGTTAGACTTTGTAATAATGTACACTACTGTCTAATAATCTTGATAAATTATGTAATATCACAGTGCACAATTTTTTTTTTCCAAATTATAGAATAATGTAAATCAATATTTGCTTCTAGCGCATTAGAATAGTGATGGTAAATTTGTATCTGTTGCTTTCCCACAAAGTATCAAGAAAACAGACAGAATTATCATTAATCTAGCTAACAGCATTACGACACCATTGGATATTTTCTGACTTGGAGAAGTTTCAATACAGAACATCTATCTGTATTTGTATCTGACGTAGTCTACTGGAGTATAAACTTCCGGGTTGGAGGAGTGTGTTTATAATTAAGGGTGATTTCAGTTTTTGTTTGAAGGCTTCCAGGGTTTCAGTGCACAAAGTGTTGTTGGGTAGGTAATTCCAGTCTCTCGTTGTAAGTGGAAAGAATGAGTTCCTATAGAGTTCTGTGTTGGTAACTTGGTATTTAAAGTTAAGACTGTTTTTAGTGCGCACTCGTGTATTTGTGTTTGGATCTAAATGTTGGTCCACTGGTTAAGCCACTAGCCCCTTAATGATCTTATAGAAGAGAACTAGTCTCAGCTCAGGTCTGCGTTCCTCGAGTGGTGCGAGTCCCAGTTCATTCAGCATCGATGTAAAGCTGCTGTCTCTTCTATAGTTGGCACAGATGAATCTCACAGCTCTGCATTGGATCTTTTCCAGTGATGATGTGTGTAACTTCTGGTATGGGTTCCAAATTGTGACCCTGTGCTCTAGGAGTTGTCCTACTATATGGTGATCGGTAAGCTGTTAACTTCAAGGTTGATGGACTTTCCCTCAAATTTCTTCCCAGGAATCCTAGTGTGGAGTTTGCCTTCCCTATAGTTCTGTTGATATGGGAGTCCCATCTGAGCAAACTGCTCATCATTACTCCTAGGTATTCTGTTATTTCTTCTAGTATGGTGTTGTTGAGTTGTATCTGTAGGTGCTTGGTGTTCTACTTCCGGCCATTCTGAGTATGGAACATTTCTTGGTGTTGAATAGCCCTAGTTTCCTCTGGCCCTTAGATACCAGACTTAGACATTTTGACAGATAGAACATAGATATGTCTAAGTCTGGTGTCCGAACCAGAGGAAACTCAGGCTAGGTGTTGAAAGACATGCCCCAGTCCTCGGCCCACTACTCTAGTGCTTTCAGATCTGCTTGGAAATCCAGATGGTCTTGGGAGGTGTTGATTGATCTGTACAGTAAACAGTCATCTGCGAAAAGGCGGACTGATGAATGCATGCAGGTTGGAAGATCATTTATATAGGCCAGGAATAAAATCAGTCCGAGTACTGTACCTAGTGGTACGCCAGACCAGACTCTTACTGATGTTGACTGGGCTCCTTTTACGAGAAGCTATCGGATGACAGTCCTGTGTCATTGACACAGACAAAAAATTCAAGCCATTTTCTATGTAAAAATATTGTTCACTATGACCATGTCCAGCACACTCTGCCGATTGAGCTATATAGCTGTTGACCTATATACGTATAAAGACCGATCGACCTATAATAGCTCTATTGACCTATCTGAAATAGATCTTTTGAGCTATCTTCATTTGATTTTCTTTTTTAAGGAAAATGAAACAAAGTCGCTGTTAAAAGAAGATTTTATCATTAGGTTGATAACAAAAGACGTTAAATATAAGTAATCTTTTTAAAAAATAATGATGTAAAAAAATCGGAATTTTACATTTATGAAAATAAACATCTAACTGTATGTTTTTAATAGTCAACATGACCATAAACCTTATTGTTTTATGCGACTTTGCTTTAATTTAATGAAAATTGAAATCTGAGAAAATGTACAGCTTAAATGTATAGGTGAATAAAGCTGTACTGTCTAGGTCTTTATAGCTATATAGCTCAATCGGCAGAGTGTACTGGACCTGATGACTGTATACCACGTTTTTATTACTTATTCTAACCGGCTGTTTGTGATGTCGCCGCTTAAATTGATTATAGTTGCAAGCTGAAATAATCAACGATGATAGGTCTACTGAGTACATGTAGTTTTAGCGGATTTATTGGTCGCCAATCTACTGTTGCTGTGCACAACTTCCACTCCGACAATTGCATAATTTGAATGCTTTGTTTACAATCCTTACCTCGGTTTTACGGTACAACACAGCTTCTCCAAAAGCCCCTCTACCTAAAACTTTCACGAAGAGATACGATGTTTCTTGACAAGCCTCATTCGCGCCCGTGGGTGCTGTCTGCACATCTGATGCTTCCAAATCGGTCGCCATTTGTAAACAAATCGATGGAAGGGAGGTAACGCGGTGTAAAATATATACATCTAATCGAACGCACCCGTCATTTACAAATCTGGATCTTTCAAACGTTTTCATATTTTTAAAGAGGCACAAACGGTTATATTTTCAGATAATATATGTTCTTCAATAATCGTGATGAGGACAGAAAGAAGCAATATTAATGTTTAACACATTAGAACAGTAAAGTTTACAGCTGAATGCAGAAATTACAAACAAAAAACAAATGATGTTCACTAAGATAGTTTGGGCTTCCTTAAGACATCGAAAACAATTAAATACTCAAAAGCTGTGTGGCATATGATAACAATTATAAGCCTATAACCATATTCAGATTATAAAGTAGGACAGTCCCACTGACTTTGAATGTTATCATCTTGCAATCTTCATAGTTTTGTATTAACAAGAGGCCAAGTGGACCTGTATTGCTCATTTTTAATTTTGTTATCTAAACGACAATGTAAATATGGATTGACCATAATAATCTTATTTGGATCAAGTTTGGTTACCATTGGGCAGCTGGAATTAGAGAAGATGTCTTAAACATATATGCAAGACTTTAAACAGAAAACAGGTTGCTGGGTCGCATTTGTGTATTCGTGGCTAGGATTGGAAACTGCACTGCCAGACTGGATTTCGAACCCTGGACCCTCAAACTCTAGATGGACGCTCTACCAATTGAGTTACCTGGTTGCTGATGATTGACTCAGTCCAATTCTACAACACATTTACACTCCATGACAAATTACAAAGGTTAATCTCCAAACATATTTAAAGAGTAGCACTTCTTTGAAAGATAAACCCACATTTTCCTTCTTGGCCTCGCCTCTCTGCCTCCAGGAAAGGGCAACACCCTTCGTTTATAAATACTGTATTTCCTTGGTTCAAGAAGTTATATGTTCTTTGTGAAATAAGGTTCAAATCCGTTTACATGTTCTTGAATAGAGGATTTTTAAAGATTAGGTCAAAATCACTTCATCCATATGAAAAAGTTGTCGTTTAAATATTAGCCCTTATTTCCCCTTTTAGGCGCTCCTCTCTATCCCACGGGGACTGCAACTTCATAATACAATTGAGAATTCTTCAGTTATACAACAATAATATAATTAGTTATTATTTATGATAAAGTATATATGGTCATTTACAACATGAATTTGGATTCTAGTTTCAGGATGATCAATTATTATGTTCATTTCAGTTTAACTGCAAGATTTCAAACAAAGTTGGTTTGCAAGACTGTAAAACACAAATCATCAAGACTGTAAAACACAAATCATCAAGCTTACAACTGTTTCAGTTCCATACCATACAGGAATATTTATTTCTCAAAGAAAACACCTAGTGTAGATATTACAGTAAATCAATTTAGTGTACAGTTATACAACGTAGGTTACACTGTCAGTGAAAACAACATATCCAACCTCTGCCAAAATTTGAAGGGACCTTTATATTTTGATTAAAAAATCAAATTGATATTGCCAGATGTCACTCACTGTAACACTGGTACTGTGGCCTTGGCCTCTGGAACAGGTCGCTGACATATCCCACACTGTAGCCTGATTAAGTCAGCTGAAATAACTCAGTGTTCAGTTCATGTATTAATACTAATAAAACCTTTAACATAATCATATGAGTGTCTGCCCCTTGTCATTTGTGACGTTGGTAATCGTATGAGTGTGTCTGCCCTTTGTAATTTGTGAGGCTGGTAAATGTTGGTAATCATATGAGTGTCTGTCTGCCCTTTGTAATTTGTGAGGCGGGTAAATGTTGGTAATCATATAAGTGTCTGTCTGCCCTTTGTAATTTGTGAGGCTGGTAAATGTTGGTAAGCATATGATTGTCTGCCCCTTGTCATTTGTGATGCTGGTAAATGTTGCTAAGCGTATGAGTGTCTGCCCCTTGTCATTTGTGAGGCTTGTAAATGTTGGTAATCATATGAGTGTCTGTCTGCCCTTTGTAACTTGTGAGGCGGGTAAATGTTGGTAATCATATAAGTGTCTGTCTGCCCTTTGTAATTTGTGAGGCTGGTAAATGTTGGTAAGCATCTGAGTGTCTGCCCCTTGTCATTTGTGATGCTGGGAAATGTTGGTAAGCGTATGAGTGTCTGCCCCTTGTCATTTGTGAGGTTGGTAAATGTTGGCAAAGTGTTTCCGTATTGTTGATATGGACACAACAAATTGGACAATACAATAGCACGTAAACTTGTAATCTTTGGCGAGAACTATACCGAGTGATAGGACTAGCCTGTGACTTTAGGACATCCTGAACGTTACAGTATATATATGTATACATCCTCAACGTTACAGTATATATATGTATACATCATGTAGAAACAGAATACAAAATAAGCTTGCAATAAGACATGACAACATTACATTAGGTATCTATAAAACAAAGAGATCAAACAGTGTTGATGTGGAGAGATGTAAGGAAAACATGGTCCTGAAACAGGGACACTTAATTTTTAGTGATAATCATGATTATTCATGATATTTCATCAAATTATCTTCAACAGTTTAGAACAGTACCACCACTAAAAATGATAAAAAAAAGTTGCACATTTCTCATATAACACAAGCATTATATATCTAAAGCTCATCACAGGTACACTCAATTTTTGGCCCTGTCTCTCTGCCTCCAGGAAAGGATCGAGGCAGAGGTTGTTATCTACAACTCGTCACAGGTAAATATATACAACTCATCACAGGTAAAGAAAATCTCAAACTAAAAGCAATATGATATTTCACAGATCTGAACTGTAATCTTTCTTTATTACCCATTAATTAGTGCACTTAATCGGCGTAAGAATGGTTTCCAAAGAAACTGACATCAGAAGTCACAGCGAGATGAAACCTATCTCCACCATTGTTCTGAACGTCACTGCTCACTCACTCAGATTTTCAAAAAAACCCATAAACTAATGTAAATAATCCAGATAAATCTGTGTGAATGTAAAGCATAACTGTTATATAAATATGAATAGTTTTCTTCGATGTAATAAAAAATATACTAACCATAATTATTGGTTGGCTTATCAGCACTTCGTTACTGCATAGAGCTATAATCTGTCAGTGTGTAACTTCTTAGTGAACATATAATTTGTCCTACCTGAGACATCTGATGGACAACTACGAATGGATGATAGTGAATACCTATATACTCCACTCTAGAGAGTTGAGCAATAGATCTGATATAATTTACGAATGCACACACATACACACTCACATCCTACCCTCTACAAGAATTGAACCTACAACCTTGTGTCAGTTGACTAGCACACTACCAACTATGCTATGGGACCCAGAAATCATAATACACCTCAACAATACGATATTACATTAATATTACAATATTATCTTTATAACACATTAAATCTTAATATCATAAATTAACATTTCTTCATTCGCATTACTTTCTTTAAAATCATGTTTTTGTACAGTATGAGCACAGGCAAATCCTTTCAAAATTTTAATTGATAATTTGGGTTGATGTTATCATCAAAATTTATTTTTACATGTACCAATGCTTTGAGTTTGAACCAGGTTTATATTTTTCTATTTCAAAATTAACTTACACTGAAAGAATTTTTGAACTCTCTTTATTTTTTCTTTAACAGCATTGGTTAAGTGCCCTACTTCAGGCATGCACTCATAGAACAATATAACAGTTACATGGCAAGTGTAACACAATA